GGCCCCCGGCCTGGGCACCGAGCAGCGCGCCGCGGGCCGGGCGGGGAAGGGATGGCGCCTACCGAGGCCTGGAAGGAAGGGCGGCCCGCGGCGGCTCCGGGAAACTTTGGCGACTGCGGCGCGGCCAGGAGACTGGCACCCCCCGCGGGATGCCGCGCGCCCCGCCCCGGCCCAGCCTCGGCCTGGACCTGACACCGCCTCAGCCTCCGCCTCCGCCTCCGCCCCGGGCTCTCGTCACCGCCCCGGCCGCGCGCTCCGGGTCCCGGCACACAGCGCCCCGCCCCCCCTCGCCAGTGCTGGCCCCGCCCCCTGGCCAGTGCTGGCCCCGCCCACCCATATGGCCCCGCCCCAGACGCCCCACCTCCAGGGGGCGTCCAGGCTGTCCAGTACCCCGCAGCGGCCAGAGGATTCTGGTTCCAATTCCGTGTCCTTTCGGCTTTGCTGAATGTCTCTGTCCATCAGACCCTGCCCACCACGGAGCGCCTTTCCCGACCGCGTACCCCTCGGCCACCCTTCTGCCCCCACCCCAGGGTGCGGGAGCCTAGGCACCCCCATCGGACGCACCCTCAGCATCCCAGCTGTCGCAGCTGAGCTCCTCATCTGACTGTGCGGGTCTTGACCTTGAAGCCAGGACTCTTGGGACCCAGAGCCATGAAGCCCCACTCCCCCCCCCAACACCGGTGCAGATTTAAACATTGTTAGGGGCAGTCCTGGCCTGGGCTCCTTGGGGCACTTACCCAGCACGTGCAGAGCCCCGTGTTTCACCTCCAGCAAAGTCAAGAAAAAAAGTTTAAGATGCGTTAAGTATTGGATTTAGATTTAGCTAAAAGATATATTGCGCTTTCCCTGGGCCAAGTAAGACACTTCACGGTGTTAGCTCCCTTACTCCTTACTCTGGTGGGTCCCAAAGTGTGGCTGGGGTCCCCAAAGTCAAAGGCCTCAGGGACAAAGTCAGGGGGCCGGGGAGATGGCTCAGTAGGATAAGCGCTTGACTGGCAAACGCAAGGATCTGAGTTAAATCCCCAGTTCTGCTCCCACCCCAAATGTCAGTGCACTCAGGCTAGTGGATCCCAGCGCAGCGTGCTGGAGCCAGGGAGAGTGCAGAAAGGTAGGCAAGGCGGATGGTCTCGTTACAGCTTGTTTGAGAACACCGTGATTTTGTTCGTGATGAGCCCAGGGCTTTCTGCATGCCAGGCCTTCTGTCACTGCCGGCTCTTCTTATTTATTATTTTGTGACAAGGTTTTGTTAACTTGTCCAGGCTGGTCTTGAACTTCTGATCTTCCTGCTTCAGGCTTCCTAGTTGTTGGAATGGAATTACAGGTGGTATCTTTGAGGGGAAGAGGTGTTCACTAAATTGGCTATGAAGACCCACGGGATTGTCCCCTGTCCTGAAGGCTGAGTCAGGAGGGACTAGGATTAGGTACCCGGACAGTTTGCAGTCTGTGCCTGGAGCTGGAAAAGGGTGGGATGGGGTGGGAAATGCTTTAAGAAGGGGAAGGAGCCTGGCCTGGTGGTCCATGCCTACAGCCCAACATTTTGGAGGCTGAGGCAGGAGGACCACTTCAAGTTCCATGCCAGCCTGGGCTACACAGAGAGACTTTGTCTCAAAAAACAAAAAACAGGGCTGGCCAAATAGCTCAGCAGATTAAAGCACCTACAAGCAGGTGCACATGCCGGTGGTTCAATTCCTGGGCCTCCCGTGTGGTGGTGCATGCCTATAATCCCAGCTCTTCAGAGGCTGTAAACGGGCGGATCTCTACAAGTTTGATCTAGTAGTGAGACCCTGAACACCCTGTAGACCCTTCCCTAAAATACAAAAAATAAATAAAAAACAAAAAATAAAAACAACAACCACAAAAACAAAAACAGAGCTAGGGAGACAGCTCAGTGGTGTAAATCCCTGCCTGGCAAGTTCAAGTACCCGGGGTTTGATCCCCAGTACCACATGCTGTGACAGCCTGGGCACCAAGCCAGCTACTTTGACTGGGTGTGGCGGTGCACACCTGTAATCCCAGCACTGGAGAGACTGAAACAGAAGGAAGGGTCACTATGAGTCCGAGCTGCGTAGCAAGACCCTGTACCGAATAATACATAAAAGATTTTTTAAAAAGGCCAGCCAAGGGGGCTGGTGAGATGGCTCAGTGGTCTAAAGCACCTACTTAGAACAAGCTAAGCTAAGCAAAACACAGGGACCGCGGTTCAATCCCCCAGCA